TTTATTTTTTAGTATAGAGGGAGTATATTTTTTAAGATAGATGAAGTTAAGTAGTAGCACTCCGTATCTCACATCGGTTATTAGAGTTTGTCGTCACCGTCCATATGCTTGCGGTTACGGATGCCGAGATTCGGAGCAACTTAGCTTGAGGCCGCGCGTGGGGATGAAGTCGCCCCATCAATCAATTTATCTACCAAACAGAACTGTTGGATCGAGACCTAACACAATAATGTCTTTTACATAATGGATTTATTGATCCGGCCTCTATATATACAGCCAAAAGGATACAGGAGCACTTAGACTCACACCTCAACAAAGCAGAGAACACACACAAAAAAGAGGAAAAAACTACGAACTCGACACATCCTGCTTTTCGACATCCTGTCGTAAAATGGCTAGATTCGGCGAGTGGAAGTCGTCAAGTCGCCGCCGTCCTAGTGCGGCATAGCTGTGAACCTCCGCTTTTGCCATCTTCAATCGCTTTGAGTGAGGTGACGCCATGTGTCGCTGGTTAGCCCACCTTCATCCATCGTCGTCTAGTCAGATCTAGTCGATCAGACACGAGCCGATAGGATCCGCTTCTGCTTTGCCGGATTCCAAGGCCTCCGCTGCCCATAGGGCAACCGCTGTCATTGGAATTATGGTTGTCGCCTCTGCTGGAGTCCTATGTCGCTGCCGCCGAGGATATCCTCTTCCACCTGCATCGTCGAACCATTGCCGCCTCTAGGGCCACCGCTGCCGATGAGATCTGCCTCCTCTTCGCCAAGATCTTCACCGACGCTTAGGCCGCCGCTGCCGTCGTGGAGGTCTTCGGACTCACAGGCCGTCGCCGTCCATAGAACACAGCTGCCTACGGAACCACCTCCGCTGGATCCACCTTCTGCCTACCGATTACTGGTCGTCGACACTTAGCCGGCTTAGGCCGCCGCCGTCCTCTACCACACCCACCACCGCCCAAAAGGGATGACGCCGCTACCCACCACTCTCTCGACCACCTCCTCTGCCGTCACCCGAGGCACGATTGCCAAGCTATTGTGTCGCACCATTGCCACGGGCCTCGGTGCCGCCCCGCCCGTCTTTGCTGCAGCGCCCGGCAGAACCCACATAGCGGCGAAGCAAGCGGTAGATGCCATCGACACGGCACGAGTTGCCGTGAAGCAGCCATAGCACGGCCTTGAGGAGGCCCTGAACCACGCGAAACGCAGATCGATCAGGCGCAACCCCACGGAATCGCCGACCAATAATAGGCCTACCCCCCCTCCCCCCATGCGGTCGCGTGCCAAAGGATCACTAAGACGTGCTCCCTTATGCCTATGCAGTAGAGATTGCACAAGATGAGTTAGTTACTTGGCTCTAATACAAGTGTTTAATAATGTTAGCTTTTAGTAATGACTCATGTTATGTTAGGCTCACATGACAACCTCTCTCGTGATCTTGAAATGTGTATAAGACTAGCTCTTGATCAAGATCTCTTTATGATGAGATGGAGGAAAGAGAAAAGAAGCAGACTGTAACCTTAGAGCCAGCTTATGCACAAGAATCAAGAAATCTTGTAAGACAAACAAGTAGGTTGTAAAAGCAACTATAATAACAGACTATAAGCAAACTGAATCCTAAGGTGGAGAGGGGAGAGGAGAGAGAAGAGAAGCGGGATGTAAGTACTAGAAATTCTCATGTTAACCAGAAACATCCAGCCATCAAATCGAAAATTTGTATCCACCAATGACCATTTGATCTATTTTGTTATCTAGAAAATTACCCACCTTTACCTTATATTAAAAAAATAGACAAATATCTCTCCATTTTTAGAGAAAAGCCGAGTCTGACATTCGGAGAAAATCCATCCAACGGAGAACTATACCAAGTACCTAAATAAAATATATATATACTGCGCCCATGATTAGTTTTTTTTTTTGCGAGCAGTCCACTATTAGCTATTAATATATTATTATAACAAAAACACACATTCTTCTAGATAAAAGATATCGGAGGCAATCTATCTACTCCAACAAATCCATCCAATCGAGTACCCGTACGTCCATGCTGTTAATATACTAACAAAAATTCTAGATCCAACAAAATAGACATACATCTGCCGGAGTGCCTTTATATATTTTTGTGAGCCATCGTTTTTCATCATCCAAAAACTGAAGGTACGGTCATACAGAACTGCCTTTATATATTTTTTGCCAACCACGTGGAAATAAGAATCCATCTATTCACCGCAGGATTCCATTTATTCACTGCTCATCCTCCTGTTGTTTCCATCGTCAGCATGAACTAAAGGTCTATTGTTTTCCTCATTCACCAACCAAAGGTACGGCCGTCTTGCTGAATCCATTTGCGATCTAATCTATCTCCAGTGATCTACATGAAAAAGGTAAATTAATGCCATCATTATTATATTTTTCAGTTTACAAGAAGGTCTATTGTTTTCATCATTCACCAACCAAAAGTATATGGCCGTTGTGCTGAATCCATTTACGATGTGATCTGTCTCCTACGATCTACAAGAAAAAGGTAAATTAATGCCATCATTATTATGTTTTTCAGTTTATAAGTTGCAATGGTTCGCTCCGTTCGTTTGGCTTATAATTCATACTTTTTCAGCGAACGAATAATATTTTTCTCTCATAATAAATCAGCCAACGATAATTTCAGTCATACCTTATCAGCCAAGCGAACAGGGCGGTTAGCGAGAGATTGCTGGCCGTGCCTCGACTTAGCGCACTGCTCACTGCGCCCAAGTCTTTCTTTTCCTTGCTGCTGCTGGTGCAGGAGCGTGAGCCTGCAAACTGCAAAGAGAAGAAAGGGGATGCGAAAGATATAAAATCATTTCATTCTTACTCTATAAGAGTAACAAAATATACATGAGTATCCTTCTAGCCTGCCAAGACAACCTTCTATTTTTTATTAGGTCAGTTTTAGTGAAAGTTTTATTTGCATTAAATAGGTTGGCACATATGTACTTTTGATGACATTGTATTTAAGAAGAGAGGATAAATGATGAAACTCGGCATGATTACCAACTATTTATGAGTCATGAAATTTAATGCATATAAAACTATAGAATGAAACTTTGTATTGAGAGTGAGCGTTTTATCCAAGTTTTATTTTTCATTCTATATGACATGATAGTCTTGAAATAGTACAACGCAGTGAAACTATCCATTGAGATTGGACTTATCATCAGTCGGTCTCTAGGACCTTCTATTGTGCCGTACTATAAATACATAAACAGCAGTTAGGTCCAACTATTTGAAATGGCCCAATAAATCGCTACAATCTCTCATAAAAATTGGCTTAGCTTCAAAGTTAATAATAATATTTTTGGCTTAACTCATGTTAATTAAGTATGACGCACTAAAATTCATCAATAAAAAGCCATATAATATGCTATGTTTAACAAGAAAAATATATCATTAGATACGTTAAATATGACTCTACCATTATGAACTATAATTCAAAATAATCCCTAAGTTTGTACCTAAATTATCCACATCTATCATTAAAAGATAATAATATTTTAATATTGTTATCCACACAATTAAATTACTAAAGAAGGATATCCAACACGCCCATATAATATACAATAAGATGGGGCACAAAAGAAAGGAAGGAGAAGAAAAATATCCAACCGTGGAACCAAATTAATGAACACTATTAGCGAAGCCACAACGATAACATGTGTGGAACTCTGGATTCAAATAAAAGTTAATTGAATGTAGTAATTTTTATTTTAACATATATTAAACATAGTTTTCTATTGCTAAAGTATCTCAATGTTAGCTCTTATCGAGGAATCCAACCCGTGCGGCAGGTTGATGGACTAGTGTATTAATAGTTAGATATCTAGCTCCTATATGGGTAGACCGAGAGATAGTCTCCAAAGATCTTTACTGACTTATGCGACCAATATATTATTAGTCCGGCTCTATGTGGGCTAATTGTTATATGATAGGTAGACTAATAAATTTGGTTATAAGGGGGTGTTTGGTTCTTTAGTCGCTCCTAAAATTCATGTCACATCGAATATTCGGATACTAATTAGGAGGACTAAACATGAGCTAATTATAAAACTAATTACATAGATGGAGGCTAATTCACGAGACGAATCTATTAAGCCTAATTAATCCATCATTAGCACATGTTCACTGTAGCATCATATTGTCAAATCGTGGACTAATTAGACTTAATAGATTCGTCTCGCAAATTAGCCTCCATCTATGTAATTGGTTTTGTAATTAATCTATATTTAATGCTTCTTATTAGTATCTAAATATTCGATTTGACAGAAAACTGAATCCTAAGGTGGAGAGGGGAGAGGAGAGGAGAGAGAAGAGAAGCGGGATGTAAGTACTAGAAATTCTCATGTTAACCAGAAACATCCAGCCATCAAATCGAAAGTTTGTATCCACCAATGACCATTTGATCTATTTTGTTATCTAGAAAATTACCCACCTTTACCTTATATTAAAAAAAATAGACAAATATCTCTCCATTTTTAGAGAAAAGCCGAGTCTGACATTCGGAGAAAATCCATCCAACGGAGAACTATACCAAGTACCTAAATAAAATATATATATACTGTGCCCATGATTAGTTTTTTTTTGCGTGCAGTCCACTATTAGCTATTAATATATTATTATAACAAAAACACACATTCTTCTAGATAAAAGATATCGGAGGCAATCTATCTACTCCAACAAGTCCATCCAATCGAGTACCCGTACGTCCATGCTGTTAATATACTAACAAAAATTCTAGATCCAACAAAATAGACATACATCTGCCGGAGTGCCTTTATATATTTTGTGAGCCATCGTTTTTTCATCATCCAAAAACTGAAGGTACGGTCATACAGAACTGCCTTTATATATTTTTGCCAACCACGTGGAAATAAGAATCCATCTATTCACCGTAGGATTCCATTTATTCACTGCTCATCCTCCTGTTGTTTCCATCGTCAGCATGAACTAAAGGTCTATTGTTTTCCTCATTCACCAACCAAAGGTACGGCCGTCTTGCTGAATCCATTTGCGATCTAATCTTTCTCCAGTGATCTACATGAAAAAGGTAAATTAATGCCATCATTATTATATTTTTTCAGTTTACAAGAAGGTCTATTGTTTTCATCATTCACCAACCAAAAGTATATGGCCGTTGTGCTGAATCCATTTACGATGTGATCTGTCTCCTACGATCTACAAGAAAAAGGTAAATTAATGCCATCATTATTATGTTTTTCGGTTTATAAGTTGCAATGGTTAGCTCCGTTCGCTTGGCTTATAATTCATACTTTTTCAGTGAACGAACAATATTTTTCTCTCATAATAAATCAGCCAACGGTAATTTCAGTCATAGCTTATCAGCCAAGGCATGTGTTGCTGAGGGTTAGTGCCTGACACTATCTTGAGCAAGTCAGAGACAGGAGTACAGTTAGAGTGCAGCTCCTCTATGAGCTGCTTGATTTTGTTGGACATTGCCACCCTGTCAAATGGCAACTTTCCATCATGGCCACTGTGGTCAACAGACATGGCAATGGCATTGCTTGTGCTATGGGTGTTATGGACATCGTCGGCAACAGCAACATCCTCATCTTGCGAACGGCAACAAGAGAAGCATGAGAGCCAGTTACCAGAAGTGTGGCGAGCAGCATGGCAGGCATGCTGAGCTTTGCCGCTGAGGCCATCTCCCAACTCTGGAGTGGCCTCTCGAGTCCCATCGAGCTTGTCCTGGATCACGAAGTAGTGGAGCTCGTCCAGAGCGTCCTCAGCCTCGTCGGCCTTGTTGCTCAGGAACTCGAGCAGACCCTTCAGGCCAGAGTTCCCAGCGAAGTCCCTCCCCTGGGCCGCCTCCAGCAGCCCTTTAGTGTACAGCATCTCCTTTCTGATCTTCACAAGGTTGAGGCCGAGCTCGGTGCTGAACACGTACGCTTTCAGCAAGTCATCGGACAGCTTGTGGAGGACTTGGCCGAGGAGCCAATTCGCCGCTCCGAGAGCCACCTCCATCTTCTCCTCCGGCTGCAGGGGTCATTGGTTTGAGTGGTGACTGGTGAGCACCAGTAAGAACAGTGTGCTTGAAAGGCTACATGGATTTTGTCCAAAAGAAGAAGAAGAAGAAGAAGGTGGTGCGAGTGAAACGTTTGGTACCACTTCTTCTCGCTCCTGCTCGACGGCGCGCACGTCCTCCAGGCGACGCGAAGGCGGCCCTCGCCACCGTGGGTCTACCCTCCCTCGCTCCGCCTTCCTTCCTTCGTCGTAGCCGCTGATCTGCCCGACGCGCCCCGAGCTGACCAAATATTCGGCCTGATCTTCCAGCCGCGGAGCCTCCGGCGAGCAGGCCCAAGCGCCCAGCGCTGTGGAGCAGCAAGACGGGCGGCGTAGAAGAGCTCTGATGTGCGCCGGGAACAGCGGCACGGTGGGTGGTGACTAGTGTCTGGTGAGTAGGCGAAGAACAGTGTGCTGCCTGGAAAGGGAAGGCGTGGTGATCTGATCCGATTCCTTTATAGCTGCTCAGGTCATTATTGATTGATGGCGTACGCGTACCACACGCTGTCAAATACAAAATACATTTTATTTTGGCCATTAAACACCTAGGGGTCTTTGGATAGTTGGACCCAGTTTTTACTCCCTGCGTCCCAAATCACTAACGTTTTTTTCTAACTTATAAATTTCTTTGACATTTATATTCTTTTATATATCAACCTTATTAAATTTAATATAACACGGGATTTGATAGAAACGTTAACTCAATATTTGATTAAAACTAATATCTAGTGTTTTCGGTAAGAGAAGTGTATATGAAAAACTAGAAAAATATATGTGACGATAAAAGAGGATTTATCCGCACAAGTTCATGAACCCGTGCTGTCACATGGGTTAGAATCTTAGGAGACACTAACTATAAAAAATTATTTATATTAAATATTTTTTCTCTTCACTAATGTTCTAAAATAATAGCTATAATAGGTACTATATAGTCTATATTCAGTTTTGATAATCTATCAATTATTGTTTTTTATGTACTTTTCATCCATATCCATCATTTTTTTCTTTACATAGCACCTCTATTATCTCAACTATACATTTAGTTGAAACATTTGTTTAAACTATGATGGCTTTAGCTGCGGTCTATATTTTTGACGACATGACCTAAATTTTGAGCTTATTAATTGCTCAAAACTATTATTTTTTAGGTGATTATAGTCTACCAATTTAATTGCAAAATGTTTTAGGTTTTTGTAAGAATTTTAGGTTCTATTTTTTTATTACGAGCGATTTCATGAGTAAAAATTTCTAGAATTAATCTTTTTCTCTAGCATGATATATGTTTAGTTGAAACATAACGTAAAGTATATAAACTCTTATCGCTTTATGAGATATCATAAAAATCTATATTTTAACTTTCGGCTTTTGATCACGTGTTAATTTGAAATTCCAACCCTTATTGTATCGCTTAGTCAAAATTTCATTTTTAATTTATTAAAAGAATATTCTAGGTCCTAGCCTACCCTTAGTTCTCACAATAGCATAAAAAGTTGTTTCAACATGTACCATGGCACCCAAGATGTTGAATTTATTATATTGTATTAATATTGTTTTATCAAATAAATAATCCTTGGAATTAAATTACTAATATTCATATGATATAATGTTCCAATCAGATTGTTTAAACTTTTTTCAAGACAACGACTTGCAAAATTTATTATCATGAGAATTAATATAACTTAAAGCAAAGTGTAAGTGTCATAACTATATGATTTGCTAAGGATATTTTTTCACGCTTGATAAGCCTATAAATAAATATTTATCCTAATATAAACATGTTTCCTTGGTCTATGTAGTGGAACATATTTTATTTTTCATAATAGCATATATTAGCATTTACATGTAGATTTGAGATATTTTGTTAATTTATTTGTAACAGTTGAGATGGATAATTTAGGTACAAATTATATACGTATATGTTACATTACATTATCTTTCATAATGCCAGGTATGGTTAATTTGAATGCAAACTTAGGGGTCAAAGCAATATCTTTCGTAACGATAGAGGTGGATAATAATTTATAAAAGAAATATTATATTATGGGATCAGTTAGTTATCTTTTATAATTGTGGAGGTTTGAGTTTTTCCATACATGCTTTATTGATAACTCCATAGATCATTGTCCATAATATTTGAGCATCATTAACATCTAAATCCAAAGTAATCTAATGGAGTTATTATCAAAGTGAACAAAAATAAATTATAAGTCATGGTCAATACGGATTATATCAAGACTTTTATGTTCAAAGTAATCCAAGACTCTTGCTTTCATTTTTCACAATTCTTTCCCTGGTCTAATCTCACCTAAAGTTTTATTGACCATACCAAAACAGTATAAAATAAGTACTCGGAGAAGACAAGTTAAATTATAATTATGGGATGGCTAAATTTAGTACATCATAGGAGAGAAACTAAATTGTAATACGGGATCTAGCAAGATGGCCACACCTTTAGTCTGCATGTGCGGCCGGTGCCAGCGTGATCTAGATGCCGTGGACGCAGGACATTATGGCACCTACGGCCTGCGTGTTCGCATCTGTCCCGCGCATACCACCGCCCGTCCACCTACTTGCTGAGTATGGATGCGTGAATGGCCTCCTTGCTCGCTTAGACGTACGCACATATGCATTCATGTCAGGCAGATGCATGCGTCAACATGGATGCATACGATTACGGTAGATGTAGTTGCGTGCCTCCGCCTAGTGCTCAGCCGGTTTTGGGTCATGCGCGCGTCCGATGACCGTGCCGACGTCCTGCCTCCTATCTTCACGTCACAGGCGCGCCCAACACCGGCAGGCCGGAGTCTACCGGCGATGTGTGACCCATTCATGTCGCGGCGCCTCTCACGATCTAGTGCCATCTCGATCATCTGGCTGTTGCGCGCCCAACACTTCTCGGCCAGAACTGTGACACCGGCCAACGTTGCATGCTGCCATGCTGCTATGGAAGATAGGATCGGAGTAAGCATCCCGGTGGGGAACCACCTCTAGTCCCGGTTCCCCACCCGGGAGTAAGCATCCGGGGATTAAGGGGTCCTTTAGTCCGGGTCGTGAATCCGGGGGCAAAGGGGTCGCTTTAGTCGGTGAAAACACCAAACCGGGGTAAAGGTCCTCCCAAATTTAAAAAAAATAATATCTCCCACCGCTGCGTCCCGTGAGATTCGAACCCAAGACCTCATGCATTGCCTCGCGTAGCTTACCACCCCACCTACTACACACACATCCGACAATAGATGGGATGCTTCCTTTTGAACTAACCCATCGGAGGCGGCCTTTAGTCCCGGTTGGTGGCACCAACCGGGACTAAAAAGTCTCTTAATCCGAGTTGGTGTTACTGGGGGACTAAAGGTCTATCTTTAGTCCCGGTTAGTAACACCAACCGGGGACTAAAGGTTGAGGACTTTTAGTCCCGGTTGGTGGCTCCAACCGGGAGTAAAAATCACCTTTAGTCGGTTGGTGTCTCCAACCGAGACTAAAGGTCCCCCGCCATCGTGCGGCCGATGGCCGTTGGCATGGACCTTTAGTCCCGGTTGGAGACACCAACCGGGACTAAAGGTCTCTCTAGTCCCGGGCGCAAAAAATACCGGGACTAAAGCCCATTTTAGCCTCGGATGAAAGGTCTGTTTTCTACTAGTGAGAAGATAACAATCACATTAGTTTTCTCACCCATCACATTAGTTTTCTCACCAATTGTGCAGGATGACGTGAAGCCATCGCCCTTTCTTGTCCCTTGCTCTAGTCCCGATCGTCCATCTTGGTCTTGGCTCCTGCTCCGGATGCAGATGACCTGCGAGGCCGCCGCTCTTCTCGATGGAACAACGCCGACGGGTGCCTTTCTCTTCGGTACGGTGGTGAAGAAGCCAGGCGCCGCCAGGGCCGGATTAGGGGAGGTGCCGCGGGTTAGGGCCCTGAAGCCATGGGACTGTGGTAGAGAAAAATAATGTATTTATTATTTTCTTTCTTTTTTGGTACGTACTGTAGATTTTTAAATGATGGATTTATCTTTTTCCTTCTTTTTTGTCTATATAATAGAATGGCAGAGTGGGTAATTTCTAGAAAATAAAATAGATCTAATGGTTACAAATCGCAAGAGCCTATAAATTTAATGGCTAGATGTTTCTGATTAATGTGAGAATTTCTAACATTTATCTTTTTTCCTAGCGCATCTGATGAGAATTAACATGGAGGCTCCGTTGGGGCCTCCAATTAGTAATAGTATGATATGATATCCTTATCATGAAAATAAAAATGACTAGCATTTGCCATGTTGATTATGATTATGATATAGACAAAAAAACACTAAAATACTTGCCATGTTCATTATGCTTTCACTTAAGAATATTTTACCTCTTCCTAATTAGAGGCTCCTTTGGAGCTTCCACCTTACTTAAAAAATGCATTATACATAACAAGTAAACTTTACTTTTTCATAAAAAAAAACATAAGCATCCATCCATCAAACTTGTAAGGCATCAGTAATAATAGTTACCACTGGATCTATTATATTTAAAAAAAACTATCCAGTACAACCTTTATGAACGAGTCTAAAGTAATCCTTAATTTTTATCTAAATTTGTCACATCTATATCATATAAACACAATATACAATACCTTCGAAATCGATCTAAATTACACACTTATGCCACTATAAAAACTAAATAAATCAAATCCTAAATTACCCACATATAACATTAGGAAAAACAATTTAAAGCCCCTAAATTTGCAAATAAACTACTCACACCATTATTTATAAAAATAAAAAAAAAACTCTAAAATCTGCTACTAAATTACCCACTTATCTTATTATGAAAAATAATTTAAAGTATCATCCTAGCCCCTCCGTCACCATTCATCTGCTTGTGGATGCCGCCGAGGTTCGGAGCAACTCGCTAGGGGCCTGTTTGGCTTGATGAAGCACACTGCTGCTACTGCTGCTAACATGTGACACAAAAAGCCTAGGG